TATGCGCGGCCTCCGTCAGAACCTGGAGAATTACTACCGCATGTCGTTGCAGGACATCGCAGAACATTTATGCACGCGCGCTTGGGTCACAGCGGAGCCGCACAGGGCTTTCTTCTTCAACACGCTCATCTCCATCAGGAACCCTAGGCGCTACAGGAGATTCCTGCGATGGCATTTCGACGACCTTAGTGAGCTGCGCCGACGGTTTCGACGCCTTCTCGGGAATCGAGTTCCTCCAGGTCGTTCCTTTCCTGACCAAGTTGACGGCGACATGGAGGACGATCAGGCTCAGGATCGAATGTGCATCTTCTGGGACTGGGTCATACAAGCTATTGGGGCCACTCAGGCTACCGAGAAGGAGGCGAAGGCTGACATAGGAGATGGTGCACAGTTTCGGGTGTACATGCGTAATATGTCGACCTGGGGTACGTCGGCCAAGGCGCTGTTGAAGCGGTCCTACGACGCGGTCATCATCCAGGAGACCCACATGGACATGGCCGGAACCAATGACGTCTTGTTGGAGTTTGATAAAGCTGGTTACAACAGTATGGTGTGCCCAGCGGGTGCTGAGTCGGCTATCTTCACGAAGAAAGCTGGTGGTGTCGCGATGGGTGTCTCAAAGAAATGGTCTTCTTGGTCACTCAGGCACTTGGCCTCCAACAAGGACGAGCTACCTGGTAAGCGAGCAGATAAAGGCAAGAAGGACGTGGCGGCTCTTACCACTGGAGTTCGTTTTAAGGATCTGGTCGGGATGCAGGTGCTTTTGAAAGGTGCACACCTCACGATTATCGGAGGCTACCTATACAATGGGTTGGGCATCACGGGCGCCAACGTGGAGAAACTTAGACATTTGGCCTCACTCGTTTCCTCTTTATCGACACCTTGGGTCATCTTATGCGACTGGAACTTCCCTCCAGATACCCTCCGCAAGGCCGGGTGGCTCAATTTGGTCCAAGGCAATATCTTGGTGGCAGACAACGTGGACTACACGTACACTGGAGGGCAGGGAACGCTCCTAGACTATGTTGTGGCCTCAGGGCCTGCCTTGGAGTACCTGGACCGCATTCACGCCGACACGGACTTAGTGGGCGAAGGCGGCAAAGCGCATTACGGTATTGTCTTGGATCTACTTCTGGCTGCCAAGCCAGCTGAGGGACGAACTCTTAGCTTACCAAAGGCTTTTGGCCCTCCGCCTCAGCCCAAGAAGCAGGCGGATCCAAACAGCAAGCGCTCGAGGAAGCTGGTGGTGGTGGCTACTCCAACGTCAGCGAGACCGAAGATCGCCAAGCTTGGGGAGAGACGGCGGCTTGGTATCAAATCTCCTCCTCCATTCAATTTCTTGGGTCCTATGGATCTTGGGGAGGATTCAGAGAGCGATGAGGGCGAGCCTGACGACGACGAGCCTCTACCTGACGAACCAGAGGACCAAGATGAAGGCCTGGTCCCTCCTGGGGGTGGAGCTGGCTTAGGCGATAAGTGGTCAGTTGATCAGCGTGCCGATCTTTGGTCGTCCATCAGCATACCTCAGGATCATCGCTGGTCAGAACCGCCGTCGTACGTCACGGACTCCCACGCTTGGCTGCTTACCTCTGATAGTGCTGGCAAGCTGGGCATTGCCTTCGGTGAGTGGGTTGGCAAGTTTGAAGAGTTCTTCAGCCACCTGCTCGACGGTGAGGGTCTGGACAAAGACAGCAAGGCTCATCGAGGCCGAGGTCTGGCTCGACTTACCAGGACCCATAAAGTGGTGCCGTCCCCTCCCTTTACACGCACACGGGATCCTGGAGTGGACTGGTGGGCCAAGATTGCTTTCTTGATGGAGGAGTTGGACAGGGCCAGTTCCAAGCGAGAATCGCCTCGGTTTGGGAAGTTAATTACCAGGCTCAGGGAGGCCACGGCTTGGGTTCCTTCTTCGACCCTGGCTTCTCTCCCGCACAAGGAGAAAACGGCTTGGTGCAGGAAGCTGCGGCAGCTCAACATCGCCACGAACGACACCATCAGGCGCTACAAGGACGAGAGCAGCAAGATTGCTGCCAGCTTGCAGCGGATGGAATGTTATTCCCAGTATCTGGCCTTCTCCCAATGGGCGGAGGAGCAGTACGTGGCAGCACCTGGGAAGCTGTTTCGACTTATCAAGGACAAGGCCACCTCGAAGGATGAGTTCGAGGAAGGCCAGGTAATATCGTCGGACCCCCTCACGGCGATGGACATTCGGGCTAAGGTGTGGAAGAAGAAGTGGAGCGACCAGCAGCTCGACATCGGCCAGGTCACCATACTCTTGGGACGTGCTAGGGCTCGCGCTCGTGAAGATGCTTTCCTTCTCTTCGACTTGGAGACGCTGGAAGACGGCATCCGAAGGATGAAGGGCACTCCGGCGAAGGGCATTGAGCAGTTGGGGAAGAGGGGCCTCATCTGGCTGCCCGAGCAAGGTAAGCAGGAGCTGGTCCAACTTTTTCAACTTATCGAACAGTCAGTGGCATGGCCTTGGCAACTTACGGTGGTTCTGGTCACTCTTCTACGCAAGCCGAGCGGTGACGACAGGGCCATTGGTATATTATCGACCTTGGCGAGGCCCTGGTCGAGTTGTCGAGGCGAGTACCGTGCCGGCTGGACTAAGGCAAAGGCTGGGCATTGGGATGCAGCAGTGGCAGGTTCCTCAGCCTTGCGCGAGGCCTTAGCTCGCAGCTACCTGGACGAGACGGTCGCGCTCACCACGATTAAAGATTGGGTGCAGGCCAGCGTGCTGTGGGACATTGAGGGGTTTTACGACGCTCTCAAGTGGCAGCTCTTACTGGAGACTGGTATGGAGCACGATTTTCCACCGTGCATCTTGGCATTGGAGATGATTTTACACATGGGAGTGCGTTTCCTCCGTGACAGTGGTTATTATTCTGATGCCATCATACCCGAGCAGAGCATGATAGCTGGACTTGGCGGCGCAGTGGATTTCTCTCGCTGTTCTTTGTACAACATCTTGGACAGAGTGGCGCAGGGGTCTCCTGGTGTTACGGTCAGGTCTTGGGTGGATGACGTTTCTCAAAGAGTGGAAGGCAGATACAAAAGAGTTCTCGGATTAGCCTTGCAAGCTGGTTTGATTTTTGCAAAAGGTTGCTCTGAGGCAGGTTTGGTGATATCGGCAAAGTCGACGATTGTCACCAACAATGCTGGGCTAGGCAAGGAGTTGAAACGAGGATTCGCCAAGGAGGACTTCGAGGTCAAGATCGAGAGTGTCGCCACCGACTTGGGCATCGATCGGGGTACGGTTGGTTGTCGGCGTCCGAAGCAGGCTCAGCGGCGAAGAGGTGCTCAGCAGCGTTTCACTCGAGTCAAGCGGTTTGCTCAAGGTGCTGTTCGCAAGAAGATCGGCGCAAAGTTGGCCATGATGGGTGTTCTTCCGATGGCTGACTACTCGGACAAAGTCTTTGGAGCGGCTCCGTCGGTCATCAACGGCTGGAGGAAAGCTCTGGGACAGACCCTGGCAAAGAAATGGCCAGGTCGTTGCCTTACCACTCTTTTACAACTTCGTGTCGGCCGCAAGGACCCTCAGTACCAGATCGTGCACAGGCTGGTGGAATCTTGGATGTCCATTATCTTCAAACCAGGCTTCGACCTAGAGTTGGCACGTCGTACCTGGAGGACGGCACGAAGGCGGATTGACAGCAGGGATCTGAAGGACAGATGGAGAGGCATCACTGGAGTGGTATCTGCAACTATAGCCACGCTCTTAGACATCGGTTGGGATCCTGTGGGGCCTTGGGCATGGATTTCCGATCTTGGAGAAAGGTTTATGGCCCCAGACCACATCATCGGTCAAGGCCCCCAAGATATGAGTGCCCTCAAAGATGCCATCTCTGATACGATCGACCGTATGCTTTGGGATAAGGCTTCGCGGCATTGGAATGGCAAAGGTCTAGAAGAGGGAGCTGACGTTTGTGAAGCTCGACGTCACCTCACATCTTTGAAGAAGAAGGGCGAGCACGAGATGGCAGGCGCTATCGAGACTGTCATGACGGGAGCTTCGTGGACACGCAGCAGGATCTCGACCCTGAGCAGCAGCAATTTGGACACCACCGATTGTCAGCGTTGCAAGTGTGGATTGGAAGAGACCGATTTGCATCGTAGTTGGTCGTGTTCTTGCAATGAGGTGTTCTCGTCGGTCTCTACAAACTTGCGTAACAGGGCCCACCATGACTACGAAAACCTTCCCTGCCTGTGGTTGACGGGCTTATTGCCTGCTCCTTGGACCAAGGTGGACGAGCCGACTGACAACCCGTATGATGAGGTCATCGGCCATAAGGATGATCTCAAGGATCTCGATCATCTCTTGGTTGGTGGTGATGTTTCAGGAGGGCTTCACTCAGCAGACGCTAGGTTGCGGCGTATTGGCTGGTCATATCAAGTCATCAAGGTGACCTCCGACACCGACCTAGACGTCCAGCTTTTGTTCTCCCGAGGCGGTGGTATCCCCAAGAAGCAGACCATCAACCGTGGTGAGACGACGGCTTTGCTCAGGGCCGCTGAAGATCTGCTCAACTTAGGGGTCCCTATCACCTTCGTCACGGACTCGGGGTACGTGGTCAATGGGCTCCGCAAACTTTCGCAAGGGCGGCTTCCGGCTACGAACCTGGACCTTTGGCTGCAGGTCAAGGACGTGGTGGCACAGTACCCATCTATGCTCAGCGCCGTCAAGATCGAGAGCCACATGTCTGTCGAGGTGGCCATCCAAGCTGGGACGCAGATCGAACACTACCTAGCTAACGCCTTAGCGGATGAAGCGGCTGGTTACTGGGCAAATGTGGTGGCTGTTCATAGTTCAGTTGCAGCGTCTCTGGAGCATGCGGAAGCAATCGGTCGTGCTGTCCGCAAACACCTGGCCAAGGCTTTTCTGGCAGCGGCGGAGGCGGAGCCCAAACGTTTCCGTCCGACGAGGTCCATGGCGAAAAAGTTCAGTCGTCGTGTCAAGTTGTCCGAGCACCAGGTCTTCACTGGCATGGGCACATCCTTTCATTGTTCGGCTTGTGGTTGCAGCGCGAGTGGTCGCAAGCTGGAAAGGTTCTTGGAGACGCCCTGTTTGGGGGGTGTTCTCAAGGGCCACATTCAGAGAGTGGGCGATGTTGGTGTTCACGTACAAGGAGTTCCGACTCATGAGTCCCACCTTTTGGGTTATTTCAAGGACCTGCAGATCCATGCCTGTTTGCGCTGCGGTTGTGTCGGCAAGCATTTCCTGCGCAGGTTGGCGAATGTGTGTTCTGGTCAGCTGGGCCACTACGGACATCAGAACTTGGGCAAGCTGGCCCGAGGCATTCTACCGAAGGGGCGTGTGGCATTTTGCAGCAAGCAGCCCGAGCATATCGGCACCTAATTTCGTCGTGCTGACTTTTCATTTCTTTTTGAGGCCTCTGGTCTTGGGCGTCTATGTGTATCATGGTATAAGTCCTACAGCAGCCTCTTCATGGCGTTGTGGTCGCCTTTGGCTTCGCTCGACGTTTTCGAGGCGCTGGTATTCCTGGGGGCGGCTCCTCTCGAGACCCCAGGTGAGTGTGCCTGCGGGCGCCTTTTCTTTCGAGGTCCGCTTCGACATGCTCGTCAGCATCGTCGAGGCGCTTCTATTCCTGGGGGTGGCCCCTCCTGGGACCCCAGTGCGCCTTCGGGCGCCTTTTCTTTCGAGGACTGCTTCGGCATGCTCGTCCGCATCGTCGAGGCGTTATTCCTGGGGGTGGCCCCTCTTGGGACCCCAGGTGGCTGCCGCATGAGTGCGGCCGGCCGTCCTCCCCTCCTTCTCCTTCCCCTTGTCTTGCTCCTCCTCAGGGCTTCTGTGCTGCGGCGGAGGGAGGCTGCGGGCCGCGGAGTACTAAATACTCCTCCTCCTTCTGCTCCTCCTCCCCCTCCTGCTCATCCTGCTCCTCCTCCTCCTCCTCCTCCTCCTGCTCCTCCTCCTCCTCCTGCTCCTCCTCCTCCTGCTCCTCCTCATCCTCCTGCCCCTCCTTTCCCTCCTTCTCCTCCTTCTCCTCCTCCCCCTCCTCCTCCTACTCTTACATGAGGAAAGTTTTAAAGTAGTGAAAAATAGTCTGGGGACGATGTTTGGAATATGTTTCATGAGTTTGAGCACTGTTTGATTATGTCTTGCTTTTCCTCCCAAATGCGCCTGTAGGAGGACATGCCCGACCTGAATCCAGGCCTCCCAGACTGGGTCGGAGCAGATTTTCACCGAGCGCGCTCCGTGACTCGCAAAGTGCCGACTCGCAAACTTCAGAAAAGAAAAGCAGGATGCCTTCCTCTATGTCTGGATCGTCAATCCCCCAGTGCAGATTCAGGCCATTTGCGAGTAGCCACATCGCGAGTAGTGGAATGCGCTTGTCGAGATTTGGGAGCCCCAAACCCGGTGGTGAGATATCAGGTGATGACCTGGAATTCCCCATAAAGTCACCGCCAGGTTCTGGAGCACGGAGTACGCCGGGTTTTTTGCGCTTCCTGAGCCCACCAGCGTTAGGGAAATCTTCGAAAAGCCACACGAGACCCAAACCGGGTGGTGACACTAAATCGCTCGAGACTCACCACCAGGTGTTGTCACAACCATGTTGTTGGGGACTACCAATAGATGGGTTCGGAGGATCGCGCCGCATCGCCGATGCATCGGCGATGCGGTTCGATGCGGAGCCCGATTTTCTCCACGCCGACGTCGCCGAGGCGCATCGCCGACGTCGCCGATGCATCGCCGATGCATCGTCGATACAGCGGCGATGAATTGGCGATGTGACGCGACCCTCTGACCCCACCTACTCGGACCCCATCTAGGAGGCACCTATCCGAGGATCGGCTCCTCCGGCCGACTTTTTCGGCTCCTCCAGCCTCGGGATGCTCCCCAGTCGCGGGTGCGTGGAGCGGGGTTTCGCCCAAGGTGGGGTGAGGGAGAGGGCCTTGCTCACCGAGCGCGTTACGCTATACTCGCACAGTGCCTGCTCGCAAACGTCCGAAACAATAGGGGGCCACATGCGAACCCTACCCCTACCCCCCACGATTTCTGAGGGGGAGGGTGGGGTTCACTTCGCTCGGGAGCTCCCGGACGGAGCGAACCTCACCCTCCCCTTCCGAAGTCGTGGGGGGTAGGGGTGGGGTTCGCATGTGGCCCCCTAAGCAAAAACATGTCTCGTGGAGTGGATCGTAAGTCCCCCGCGGCGGATCCCGGCCATGTGCGAGTGGCTGTTTGGCGAGTGGTGGAGCGCGCTTGTCCGCTGGCTGTGGCCTCGGAGTTCCACGAGCGAGCGGCCATCCTCCTAAGCCCATGCCCTCCCCCGCACTCCTTCATTCGGGAGGAGAGAAACACACACAGACACAATTCATCGTCGACTCCCCCGAAAATATTAGAAAATATGCGCAGTGGGGGGAAAACAGAAACCCCGAAAATAAGGGGAAATATGGGTGGTCCTTTTTTGTTGTGTGTATTTATGTGTGTGTTCGTGGGCCCCTTCTGATCCAGCAGCTGTGCCACGCCGCGAGCGTTTCAGGAGTGTCCGGACCGCCTCGAAGCAGGAACCAGGAGGCCCAAGTATCTCCACCAACAGCAATACAAGGCCACAACAAAGGCACAGCATCTTGTAAGACTGGGGCCCCGCATAATCCGACGTTCTGCGGCACGTCTGAAGCCAGATCGATCCGTGAGTGTCCCCGACTCGAGGATCGATGGTGTGAAGGCGTTGTGGCGAGCGTGATTGATCGCTGGGACACCAAGATCGGGGGTCCTTCTTACCCTGTGGATCGGGCGTCGTATTGAGAGAGCGCCCACCACAAGTTCACTCGTGACTTCGGAGCCGCAGTGGACCCGTGCAGTCCCCCGTCCGCTCCGCTGATCGACGCAGGGCTTGCAGGACACACGCTCAGAGCTTCGAGACGTCGATTGGCCATCTCGCCCAGGTGGCACTCGGGGATGCTGCGCCGCAGGCGCCCGTGGAGTGCCCCCCCCCTGCAGGCCTCCACCAGAGGGGCTCCCCGACTGCGGGAGAGGCTCCCGGCCGCCCCCAAGGAGGGCCCAAAGGATCGAATTTTCGAGGCTCGCGCGCCGCATCGCCGCTGCGTCGGCGACGCGGCGCGATCCAGAGCCCGAGCTGCTCCATCCCGGCGTCGCCGATGCACATTTGCGGTGCGGTGTGGTCCTCGGGCCTCCTCTTGGCATCGCTCGGACGTGTGCACTTTTCCTTCGGCGAGGACCATCGACGAGCATCCTTGATCATCTGGCGAAAAAAACACGCACGAAACCGAAACAAAACACAGGGAATGGACGTCCGAGCGATGGCCAGTCATCTGCTCGGGCCCCACTCGGAGTGGCCTTCGAGGAGTTCTGCCACTCCTCGGGGTGGAGGCAGCCGCCGAGGTGTCGGTGTCGGTGCCAGCCTCTTGGCCCTCCCCGATCTGCGGCGCTGGAGGGCGCGCGCCCCTGCGGCGGCGCGGCGGCCGCTGCCGCTGGCTGCGCAGCGCCGCCGCCCTGCGCAGCGGACCCGGGGCCGGGTACTGGTCCCCTCGGGTCTCGCCAAGGGTGTCCTCGGCCCCTGGTGTTCCCAGAGGTTCCCAGGTGGCTCAGGTGGCCTCCAGAGCACCCCTCACGAGGCCCTCAGGGCCCCAGAGGCTCCCGAACGGCACGAACAGCCAGGGCCTCCTTGAGCCAGGGACACCTTCAGCAACCCCCGATCCTCCTTTTCCGAGGCCTGGGTGCTCGCCGAGAATCTCCTCAGACCCAGGCGACGCAACACAATTCGCGGCATTTGCTCTTCTCTTGATGTTGCCATGCTTCTTTCGAGATGTTGCATTTCTCCTTCGTCGGATTGCAGGGGGTCCAGTTGTGATTTATCTTCATGCTGCGGTGTTTCCGCCATGTGGGATCTCTGGGGGGAGGTTCCTCAAGGCCGCGCGGCGCAAGCAAACAGTAGAGCAGCTGGTCTTTCGTCGTTGTCGGCCTCTGTCACCTGGTCCCGGAGAGACGGTTGAAGCCACGGAGAGGAGAAGGGGGAGGAGGAGGAGGAGGGGGAGGAGGAGGAGGAGGAGGAGGAGGAGGAGGAGGAGGAGGAGGAGGAGGAGGAGGAGGAGGAGGATGGGGAGGAGGAGGAGGACGAGGGCGAGGAGGAGGAGGAGGAGGAGGCCGACATCACTGAGGAGAAGACCTCCTTCCGAGGCCTGGAGTTCTGCCCAGATCCTCCCGCGGATGGATTCCTTTCGCTTCGCGGATTCCTTCCGCTTCGCGGGGTGCACGTCCTAATCAATCACGCAAGATTTGGGCGCTTGTTGGTTTGCCTTGCTCGTCTGCCGCAAAGTTCTGCCGTGTCGTTCTTTCTGCCCGCCCCAAGGCGTCGCAAGCGCCACAGGGGGCGGATGCGCCCCCCCCCCCCCGCCCCAGTACCGGGACGAGCGTGCGAATGTCCACGAGGACAATGGGCATTCGCCGCGTGTCAGTACACGGCAACGCGCAGTGCAAACTCCGATGAGCTAAGTAACAACGCGCCGTTCGCATGCAATTATGCGGTCCTCTTGGTGGTTTTTTTAGGTCGTTCGGGGGTTTCTTGGGGGTCTCTTGGAGGCTTTTTTGGTGCCTTCTGGCGCCTCTTGAGGGCCTCTTGGGGCGCCACTACGCCATCTGGCCCCTTCGGAGGCATTCTTGGGGTCCTCTGAGGGCCGCCTCGTGGCTCTCCTTGGGTCCTTTGGGGCCGTCTCGAGGCCCCCGTCGGTGGCCTCCGTCTTGGGGCCATCCTGGAGGCTGCTGAGGCCGTGATGGGCCCCCGAGGGCCGAAAAAGGTGAGAACGCGAACATCTTGCATGTGCGAGTTCCTGCATGTGCGAATTCGCAGTATTTCCGTGCCAATGCGCCATCTAGGTGCGGCTTCGTGTGTGCGAACATCTTGCAAACCCCACTGGAGCATGAATGCTTTCGGCCTCCTTGGGGCCATCTTGGGGCCGTCATAGGGGCCGTCTTGGGCCGCCTCTGGAAGCCACGTTCGGCCGCCGTGTTGGCTGCCCTTGAGGACCGCCTCCGGGCCCCACAGGCTGATATCGTGGATCTCCCATACTTTTTGGTGTGCCCCTGGGCCCCAGACCCCGGCAGTTGTACAATGGAGGGATGCATCGCAATTGTAAAATACTTGCAATTAAACGTTGGGTACGTCGCATTTGGGCCTTCGCGGCACACGTTGCCGTTCAGCACGTCACTTCTGGACGCGGATTCCTTCCGCTTCGCGGTGTGCACGTCCGGAGCACGTAAGCATTGGGCGATGGGTGGTTTGCTTTGCTCGTCTGCCGCGCTCGCCTGCCATTCTGTCCTGCCCGCCGCGGGGCGTCGCCAGCGCCACTGGGGGCGGATGCGCCCTTCCCGTATCAGAACCAGAACGAGCGTGCGATTGCCCACGACGGTACTGAACAGCCAGAAGTGTCAGCACCCGGCAACGCGAAGCAACGCTGAGCAGAGCAGCAACGCGCCACTCGTATACCATTGCGCGGGCCTCTTCGTGGTTTCTTGAGGCCTTTGGGGGCCTTTCCGATGTTATTCTTGGGGGCATTTCGGCGGCTCTTGGGAGGCTTCCTTCGGGCCGTTTGGTGCCTCTTGGGGGCCTCTCGGGCCGTCTTGGGGCGCCATTGCGCCGTCTGGCCCTTTCGGAAGCAGTCTTGGGGGCCTCTGAGGGCCGACTTGTGGCTCCACTGGGGTCCTCTTAGGCAGTCTTGGGGGCCTTTGGGGCGGTCTCGGGGGCCTCTTCTGGCCATCTTGGATCCCTCGCCGACGTCGGCGACCGCGAGAACTATATGCCGATATCCCTTTCACCCATCGGGTACAAGCTCTACGCCGCGATACTGCTAGCACGGTTGAAGAGCGCTTGGATTTCGCTTTGGTAGTGTAAAGGCCAGCGCACTGTTCGTCGCACGGCGGCTGATCGATGACCCCGTTGACACAGCGTCTGGGAACTTGTTTCTTCTCGCTCTGGACTCGGCTCAAGCATTCGACAGCGTGTCGCCAGATAGCCTCCTGCGTTGATCCGATTCGGCATCCCTGGACACTTTTCCGCCGCTGCGAAAGGAATCTACAACAACAGGAGCCTCCGCGTCCGAGATGCTGGCTCAACCTTCGACATTGGCCGTAGGTGTTTGGCATTTCGCAGGGATGCCCATTATCATTGTTTGTTTTCGATCGTGATGGCGGTCCTCATGCACGACGCGAAGCGGAGCTTTACTGGCCACGGGCTGTTGCAATCCAGCTCGCTTCCAGTTGAACGAGCTCATACTCACCGACGCACCTTTATTGCCAGGGAAAACGAAGAGCACGTCTACCAATTGATGGAATGCGTGCGCGAGGCCACGAGGAACCACTGATCGGGGCTCAAGTGGGGCAATGTCCGGGTGTTGTTTGTGGGATGTTTGATCTAGATATGTATATATATATAACAAGTAAACAAATAAAAATATGGCCCGTCCATGCGGGCCAACAATGCCGCAATGGGAGAGCATTTTTTAAGAAAGGTCTACTGAACGCAGACGGCAGCAGCGGCCTGAAGTGAGCACATCGATCGGCATAGCATGCACGCAGTTCCATAGTTTGTGCAACACCTGGAAGCATGCTAAACTTTCATGTGTCAATATGGGATTGATGTCCCAGTTTCGCGTTATATCTGACCTGACGCATTGCCTCCACACTCCTGTTCTAAACAACATGTTTTCCAAGCGCGATGCCTCGGCAAATTGGCCGGCATAGCGCACTCGTTCGTAAGCGGTGTTTCGAATGAGGTTCTCTTGGCCCAGTGCAGCGGTCAGACAGTAGCCAGCTGGCATATTTGCAGTTAGTGCTGCTGGGGAAGGCGGACCACTTGTCAGACGATAGCGCCGTCAGACGCTGCATTTTCGCCACTGGGTCTTTTCATTGTCATGCTTTGGAGGTCGCCGGAGACGCGGCCAGCCGAAGAACACGCGGAAACGAACAGTATACGCCACTGTTTGAAAAACAGTTGGCGGCACTGACATATTGCATCGACGATGGCACGGGCACGCCAGTGTTTCACGTCATGTGGTTTCGGGCCCGCTTGGGCCTTTTTGGGCCCCTCTGGGGGACTTCTTGGGCCTTCTCGGGGCCATTTTGGAGGCTGGTTGGGCCGTCGTGAGCCTCCAAGAGTCGAATGAGCTGAGAACGCTCGTGTTTATCAAGGCCCTACGGATAATCGTTGACTGTGGCCTCGGCAGACTCTCTTGGGAGTCCTGTTGGGTTGTTTTTTGGGTTCGTGCCGTCATGGAGCGGGGGGACGCACGCATGTGAAGTGTGTCTGTGGGGCTTTCGCACATGCACCCTATCAGGCCACGAAGCGCGTGAGCGGCGTGCCGAAATTGAGCGGGACAACGCATGAGGCGACCTTGCCACTGGGGCTTTCGGTGGGGTTTCCTTTGGTGTCACGAAACGTGTGAAGGGTGCTGCCAATATGGGGCGGGGGGGCGCGTGTGCACTGTTCCACTGGGAAGCGTGAGGTGTTTGCCGAAATGGTGCGGGGGGACGCATGTGGATTGTGTCACTGCGGCACCAGGGCATTCGGTGAAGCCTCTTGTGGGTCACGGAACGTGTAAGGGGTGTGCCGAAATGGGGCGGAGGGCGCACGTGGACCTTCGGTGGGGTTTCTAGTGATGTCACGAAACGTGTGAATGTTGTGCCAAAACGAGGCGGGGGGGCGCATGTGGACCTTACCATTGGGGCCTGCGGATGTGCTATCTATGGGGCCACGAAGCGTGTGAGGGGTGTGCCGAAACGGTTTCGATATGGTTGCCACGCGGATGGCAGGACCAATTATGGGAGAAAGGGAAGAGGGGCACGAGGACAGGAGGAGTGGAGACGCGGGGGTCTGTCCATCCGAAACAAGACGCAACCCCACCGTACGGTTGGGACAAACCGCATCGTCGGCACCCACCAACTATTGCAGCCGATATCAGATTTTTTCGCGAGGGGATTGTTTATACATCTATATATATACAAGCATACACATTTTTTATATATATACATATATATACATATATATATATATATGATCGACACGCCGGGGCCCAGTCAGGTCCTTGTCCGCAGCATCGTGTGGCCATCGAGATAGTTTCCCAATGTGATGGATGTGCATTATCCCCGATTCGCACTCGTGCCGTTGCCACTGACACGAGAGGTGTTGAAACCAGAGAGGCAAGAGGTCACGGTAATGATGTGTTCGAAAGTTTTCCGGTTCTCCCACATTCCCACATGTTACACACGGGTTCCAGGAGCGAGGGCCGCTAGATATCAGGGAAATATTGAAACGCAGCATGAACCAATCACATCAAGATATCACTCTCGGCTCATGAAATAAGGTGGCCCTTTTGGCGTTGTCGGGTTCCCTTTTTCAGGACCTTTCGTCGATTGCCTCGTCGGCGTCGTCGTCGTCGTCGACAACATCGGCGGCGGCGGCGGCGGCGGCCCGAGGAGACCGCCACGCCCTCGCTGCCATCGCGCACGGCTCGCCGGGTGCCGGCCGGCCCGTCGGGCTCGGCGAGGCTTCGGGGGAGCCAAAAGTCGTCACGAACGAGACTGGTCTTGCGGGGAGCGGATGCTGAAGTTTTTTGCGGGTTTTTTGGCGTCCGTCCACGGGCTCCGGGATCATCATCTTTAACTGAAAGATTGGTCCTAGAGGTCTTGTGCGAGGGCTTGCGCGGGATGTCCTGTGGGGGTCTTTGTGTTGGGCGCTGGGCGTCGATTCGCGCTTCTTTTATGCCTTCTTGGACAAGCACTTCTCTGCACAGTCCGTCTTGTGAGCGTCTTGTGCGCCACCACTCTTCGCTCGACCGTCGTCTCTGTTAGACATAGTATCAGGAGACTGTTTAGGGTCGGGCGATAACCCGGGTTATCGGGGCTTGCCCCCCCCCCCCAGGATAACCTAACCTTGCCGGTTGTGCAGGTCCGCGGGAGGGGGGGCGAGGGACATGCAGGGCTGCCCACAGCGCGAGGGTTAGGTTATCGGCCGGCCCCCTCCTCCCCGCCCCCTCAGGATAACCTTGGCCATCGCCGATTCAGACAAAAACACACACAAAAAAAAGTCTCCAGGAAGCGACTGAGGACGAAACGCTGGTCCCAGGGACAGGCCACCAGGATCCAGGAACCGCTTCCCTCTGAGGACCCGCTCTTGCGCGGGCAATACTTCTGCCTATATCCACTGCAGTATGGAGTTTCGGGCTCCCTTCCCAAGAAACCCGAGGCGCACTGGATATGGATAAATGTGTCCCCTAGAGGCTCGATTTTTATCCATATCCAGTGCGCCTCGGCCTTGTGGCGCCGCTTCCAAAAAAGTCCAAGAGGCACTGGACATGAAGATGAATGTTTCCCGCATCTTGCATGCCGGCGAGAGCGGCGAGGCGTAGAGGCCGCCCGCGGGTTGCTCGGAGAGAGCCGCGCCTCGAGCGCCGCGAGCTGGGCCAGAGCGGTGGCCCCTCTCCGCGGGGTGGCGCGGGGGCGCGAGGGCGCGAGGAGAATTGCGCGTCGCGGCGCGCGTAGCTCGAATCTGCACGCCCGAAATGGGTACGGAAAAATTGGTAATTACGATGCACTACAGCGGATCCTGTTCCTTTTGAGCAGGACTCGCTGTCCGCGCCGCCGCGGCCTGTGTCCATTCGAGACAGAGGGACGCCTGCTCAACAGCGGCCGCTGTTGGTTTGGGACAACATTTGTTGTTGGGCATTGTACCCATTCTTTCCGTACCCATTTCGGGCGTCCAAATCGAAGCTTGGTGGCCCAGTAGACGGGGGGTTGTGCCAAGATGGGGGCTCGCGCGTCCTTCTCTCAGGGGCCGTTTGAGAGCGCTTTGCCCCGTGACCCCGCCTCTGCCTCTACTCCCCACTGAACGCCCCCCCGACGAACGTGGCGCCATCGGCTCAGCTGGGGGGGGGGCCGATCAACGCCAACGGGCGTCGGCATGTTGGAGGATGAGCATCGAGGGGGGAACCGATCAGTGCCAGCAGGAGTTTCCGCACAGTTTCTTC